CACTTGTGTGGGCATCTGTCAATTATCCCTGCTCTGGTGTTGCTCAAGTTTATTTGTGTCATGGAAACCCTAGAGCCAAGTACTAGGGGAGTCCTACCAAGCAGATTTGGCAAGCATAGAATTGATGGCAGCTTCGTTATAATTATACTTCTTTGCATGGGTGACCAGCTGTATCATCGTAATAGCTTTCCATACTAGAGGCCAAGAAGACAGAGAGATATACAAGCTGCTCAATATATTTCAACAAATTACATTACAATTTATGCCTTTTCCAAATGTTTTATGCCTTGTAATCATTCCCTACTCCCACCCAGCCCATCAGTTCTTTCACGAATAGGCAAAATACGGCTCTAGATATCCTTTTTAAGTATAGTGCATTAAGAAGTGATTTTTTTCCTGTTCCTTAGAATAATCATATGTTTATCTTTTCTTGTTTTCAAACAAGAAGTTGTTTGCTTTAATAGATCGTGTGACTGTGTGATACATATATGATAATGATGATAATAATAACAATTGCAGGCCAGGTGCGGTGGTTCATGTCTATAATCCCAGCACTTTGGGAGGCTGAAGCTGACAGATCACCTAAGATCAGGAGTTCAAGACCAGCCTGGCCAACATGGTGAAACCCCGTCTCTACAAAAAACATTAAAAAATTAGCTGGGTGTGGTGGCACATGCCTGTAATACCAGCTACTCGGGAGGCTGAGGCAGGAGAATCACTTGAACCTGGGAGGTGGAGGTTGCAGTGAGCCAAGATTGTGCCATTGCAGTGAGCTGAGATTGTGCCTCTGCACTTCAGCCTGGGCAACAGAGCTAGACTCTGTCTCAAAAAAATTATATATATATATATATATATATATATATATATGTGTGTGTGTGTGTGTGTGTGTGTGTGTGTGTGTGTGTGTGTGTGTGTATAATAAAAATAATTGCAAACATTTAGTGAGCATTTACTTTATGCCAGGGAGTGTACTAAACAACATTTTATTTAAAACTTGCAAACTCTATGAGACAGGTGCTTCACATGAGGAAAGGGAAGCTTTGACAAGTGGAGTTACCTCACGCAATGTCACTCAGGTTGTACGTGGTAGAGCAGGGAGTTGAGTCCAGGCAGTCTGACTGTTAACGATTTAAAACTCATTCATTGATTTTGACTTAAATATGTTCTAGAAGTCCTTTCTGAGTTTCTTATCAGATAATAAAAGTAAAATTCCATTACCTGATATTAAATGAATTCAGTTTAAAAGATTTTGCTTCATTAAATGGCCAACTATTACATGAAATGATATTCAACACCATTAGTCATCAGTGAGATACAAATTAAAACCACAACAAGAAACCATTATACACCCATTCAAACAGCCAACATTAAAAATGAACAATTCCTATGTTTCAAGGATGTGGAACATATGGAACTCTTATACAATATGATGCAAGCATTTTAGAAATCTGTTTTGGCAGTTTCTTAAAAAAAGCTATACATACACTTACCATATAACGCAGCTATTCCACTAAGTATTTACACAAGAGAAATGAAGACATGTTCTCACAAAGATTTATACACAAATGTTCATAGCATCTTGATTCACTGTAGCCTAAAAACCAACTCAATGTCCATCAACAGCTGAATGTGTATAAACAAATGTGGTATATTCATATAGTAGCATATACTCATAAAAATGCAACAACATGGATGAATCTCAGAACCATTATGCTTAAGGAGAGAAGCCAGACACAAAAGTACATACTGTTTTTCATTTATATAAAACTCTAGTAATGAAAATTAAATTATAGTGACAGAAAGGAGAGCAGTGGATATCTGAAGCTGAAAATTGAGGGAGAGGTAGTTTGCAAAGGGCAGGGGAAAGTTTTAGGTGATGGAAAGTTCTCTTTCTTGATTGTGAAGGTGATTTCACAGGTGTATACATCTGGCAAAATTTACTTAATTGTATAATTCATTGTATTTATAGAAATAATATAGAGTCTATCATATAAATTATACATAATGTATTATATATATTGTTATTTATATAACATAATTTATACAATGTATATACTCTGTGCATGTGTGTGTGAGTATTTTTCTTAGAAACAGGATATTGCTCTGTCACTCAGGCTGGAATGCAGTGATGTGATCATGGCTTACTATAACCTTGAACTCCTGGGCTCAAGTGATTCTCCCATTTCAGCTTCTCAAGTAGGTAGGGCAACAGGCATGCCACCATGCCTGGATAAGAATATTATAATTTATTATGTATTATTATTATTATATGTAAGTCATTCTTCAATAAAGTTAATTAGGTGCTGGACTCAGTGGCTCATGCCTGTAGCCTCAGCTACTCAGGAGGCTCGGGTGAGAGGATTGCTTGATCCCAGAAGGTCAAGGTTACAGTGAACTAACTATGTTCCTGCCACTGCACTCCAGCCTGGGCAACAAAGCCCAGACCTTTTCTCCAAATAAATAAATAAATAAATGAAGCTGATTATAAGACATCTAAAGCACAGCAGAAAATCAAAACAAAATTTCTGCTATGAACACTTTTATACCTGTGTCTTAGCATACTTGTAGAATGTTTCTGTGAATTAAATTCTGCCAACAGGAAAACTTAATTAAAGGTCATTTTCCTGGCAAATAAATTCCCATTTCTATCCAAAAGGCCAATAAAAAGTTTTCAGTGAAATGTAAAAAAAAAAAAAAAATTTAAAAATATTATAGAAAGTATCAATTGCTCTTCTAAAAGACTGTTATTGATTGACATTCCACAATATATGAAAGTGCCCATTTCAACCCACTTTTGCCATATTGAATAGTCAGTTATCTTTTAAATGTTTGCTAGTCTGGTGAGAATTTTTTTTTTTTTTTTTTTTTTTTTTTTGAGACAGAGGCTTACTCTGTCGCCCAGGCTGGAGTGCAGTGGCTTGATCTTGGCTCACTGCAACCTCTGCCTCCCGGGTTCACGTGATTCTCCTGCCTCAGCCTCCCGAGTAGCTGGGACTACAGTCACATGCTAGCGCATCCAGCTAATTTTTTGTATTTTTAGTAGAGCACTTCGGCCTGGGCGACAGAGCTGCCATTAGTGAGTAGTCAAATTCCTACATACAGAATCTGAGGATCAACTGTAATTCCTCTGTAATGCTGCTGCCATGTGTACAATAAGTCAGTAAAAGCTTCAGAGTGGAAATATTTATCAAAGCATTGCAGGGGGCTATATAGCAGGAGAGACACAGAATGATACTTCACCCTGTTCATGAATGTAATATAATTTATTAATTTCTTAATTTTTAAAATCAAAGTTTTAGGTACACTTAGTTTTAAAAGTTCAGAAGTTCTACAATGTTAATTATAAAAAAGAATAACCCCTTGAGCCTTTCTGCCCCTTCCCTTTGCCCAGAAACAACAAATTTCAATTCTTTTGTTGTTTCTTTTGTTTTTTACTGCCAAATTGCTAAATAACCTGATTATAATGTTATCGATTCTTTTGTTTTGTTTTTAGGCACTATAAAGACTAGCTTTCAGGCTGGGCTCAGTGACTCATGCCTGTAATGCCAGCATTTTGGGAGGCCTAGTCTGGTGGATTACCTGAGGTCAGGAGTTCAAGACCAGCCTGGCCAACATGGTGAAACCCTGTCTCTACTAAAAATACAAAAATTAGCAGGGCATCATGTTGGGCACCTGTAATCTCATCTACTTGGGAGGCTGAGGCAGGAGAATCCCTTGAACTGGGAGGTGAAGGTTGCAGTGAGCAGAGATCGTACCACTATACTCCAGCCTGGGCTACAGAGTGAGACTCTGTCTTCATAACAGACAAAAAACTAGCTCTCTTTCGCTACCATTTGAACAAATATTCATGTACTTTACATCCTTCCAAATCTTAATTTTTAAAAAATTTTCCACCCAACTCATGTAGACAAATAATAAATTTTGTTACATCACTATTCAGTATTTATATTATTATACTGTTTCATCAAACTAAAGTCTGGACTAAGAAAGCCTCCATACTCACATACTTGAGTTTTTACCTAAAACCCACAACGAAATTTAGCAAGTAAGCAAGCTGAAAATCTAAGGAATATACTTCAATAACAAAGTTGTTGACTCTCAGGCGGGTGTGCTGCCTGTAGTCCCAGCACTTTGGGAGGCCGAGGCAGGCAGATTACCTGAGGTCAGAAGTTCAAGACCAGCCTGGCCAACATGGTGAAACCCTCTCCACAAAAATACAAAGTCAGGCATGATGGCGGGTGCCTGTAATCCCGGCTACTCGGGAGGCTGAGGTAGGAGAATTGTTTGAACCCGGGAGGTGGAGGTTGTAGTGAGCTGAGATCGTGCCACTGCACTCCGGCCTGGCCAACAGAGCAAGACCGCATCTCAAAAATAGTAATAAACAATTGCTGACTCTCAGCCAGTCCTAGCAGCCGGACCTCAAAGGCTTATAGGCCACCAGCTGTTCAGACCTTGTTCTGATAAGGCAAACGCTAAGCTGTAACTCACTCAACTGGCTGTCTCTGTACCTTGCTTCTGCTCCCTGAACATCACTTTCCTTTTTTTTTTTTTTTTTTTTTTCCAGATGGAGTCTTGCTTTGTCACCCAGGCTGGAGTGCAATGGTGTGATCTTGGCTCACTGCAACCTCTGCCTTCTGGGTTTATGAAATTCTCCTGCCTCAGCTTCCTGAGTAACTGGGATTACAGGCTTGTGCTACCATGCCTAGCTAATTTTTGTATTTTGGTAGAGATGAGGTTTCACCATGTTGGCCAGGCTGGTCTCGAACTTCTGACCTCAGTGATCTGCCTACCTTGGCCTCCCAAAGTGCTGGGATTATAGGCGTGAGCCACTGCATCTGGTTGAGCTTCCAGTATTCTTTACTAGAGCTGTGTGGTCTGTGGACTCCCATGCTAAGAATCACTGTAGTCCTTGTGATCTGTTTCAAGCTTATAATGGTGTATGTGAAAATTTGTAAAAATTAGTAACCAATTATCTTGAAATATTTTCTGTGTCTTTCTAGATATGGAGAATATAAAGCCATTGGAAGGTGTAAAAATTCTGGATTTAACAAGGTTTGTATTGGTTTATCTATGTTTTAGTGATTGGGTTTTTCCCTTTCCTCAAAAACATTTAATTTTTTGAATTCTAAGAGGAACTGATATGCTTATATTGAAATTTTAGAGAAGAAAATAAGAAAAGAAAAATTCCTGGCTGGGTGCAGTGGCTCATGTCTGCAATCCCAGCACTTTGGGAGGCTAAGGTGGGCAGATCACTTGAGATTAGGAGTTCAAGACCAGCCTGGCCAACATGGTGAAACTCTGTCTCTACTTAAAATACAAAAATTAGCCAGTCATAGTGGTGGGCGCCTGTAGTCCCAGCTGCTTGGGAGGCTGAGGCGGGAGAATCACTTGAACCCCGGAGGCAGAGGTTGCAGTGACCTGAGATCTTACTATTGCACTCCAGGCTGGGTGAAACAGCAAGACTCTGTCTCAAAAAAAAAAAAAAAAAAAAAAAAAAAGCCTTTTCACATGTTCACAATATGGCGCTGAAAGTAAAGAAGGAAGCTTCTGCCCCTCTTAAAGCCGAAGCCAAAGCGAAGGCTTTAAAGGCCAAGAAGGCAGTGTTGAAAGGTGTCCACAGCCACAACAAAAAGAAGATCCACACAACACCCACCTTCAGGGTGCCCAAGGCACTGCAACTCCAGAGGTAGCCCAAATATCCTTGGAAGAGTGCTCTGAAGAGAAACAAGCTGGACCACTATGCTATCAAGTTTCTGCTGACCACTGAGTCTGCAATGAAGAAGATAGAAGACAACACGTTTGTGTTCACTGTGGATGTCAAAGCCAACAAGACCAGATCAAACAGACTGTGAAGAAGCTCTATGACATTGATGTGGCCAAGGTCAACACCCTGATTCGGCCTGATGGAGAGAAGGCACATGTTTGACTGGATCCTGATTATGATTCTTTGGATGTTGCCAACAAAATTGGGATCATCTAAACTGAGTCCAGCTGGCTAATTCTAAATATATGTGTATCTTTTCACCATAAAAAAAAGAAAATTCCTGTAATATCATTCTAAGAGATAATTAGTGTAGTATTTGTCTTTTCCCAACTTATATTTATGCGTAATCTTAAGAAACAAAAATTGGAACCATATTGAAATTACAGTTTTACCCACATTTTAAACACAATGTTATATTTTAAATATTTTCCTATGTTAGTCAAAATTCAACAAAAACATAAGAGTATTTTATTATATCAATGTCACATAAATTACATAATCATCCTCTAGTCTTTCACTATTATAAACTAGGCTTCTTTGTACACAAATGTTTCCCTCAGTTTTGATTTCTTCCTCAGGATAAAATTCTAGAAAAAGAATTCTAGGATCAAAGGGGGTATTTTTAAAGCTCCTATTACATATGTCCAAATTGCAGTTTTAACTGTTTTGATTCTTACTAGCATTACATGAGCTTGTTTGTGTTGATGGGTTGTTAAGAAAATAATTAACATAAAAATTTTCACAATGGTAATAATTTATTTATCATTGTTAACATTGTAGAGTCCTGGCAGGACCTTTTGCTACTATGAATTTAGGAGATCTTGGAGCAGAAGTTATAAAAGTGGAGAGACCAGGTAAAGCTATTTCTCTCTTTAAAAAATAGAAACAAGCTAATAAATATTTTAAAGTAATTCTCTAAGTACCCAGGTTTAGTGTACCTGTAGGTGGGATAAGGAGAGAATCAAGATGAAAGGATTGTCTTTTTCTTCTCCATTTTTTGTTTTCCTATGAACTAACACTAATGATCTCTTTTTACTCTTTATGTGTGCTAAGTGCTAAGGCTCAAACCATTTTCTTCTTCGTACCTGAGGCCTTTTGTTAGAAGCTGAGGCTAGGTGCAGTGGTTCACACCTGTAATCCCACCACTTTGGGAGGCCAAGGAGCGAAGATCACTTGAGGTCAGGAGTTCAAGACCAGCCTGGCCAATATGGTGAAACCTCGTCTCTACTGAAAATGCAAAAAAAATTAGCCAGGCATGTTTGGTGGACACCTGTAATCCCAGCTACTTGGGAGGCTGAGGCAGGAGAATCACTTAAACCCAGGAAGTGAGGTTGCAGTGAGCTGAGATTGCGCCACTGCCCTCTAATCTGGGCAACAGAGCAAGACTCTGTTTGAAAAAAAAAAAAAAAAAAAAAAAGAAGTGGAGATACAGCATATAACAATGATGATAACAACACCTACAGTGCCAGGCGTAGTTCTCAATGCTTTGCTTGTGCTTATTTAATCTTTGCAACAACCCTACAGGCTGATGGTATTATTCATAATTTATAAAGCAGAAAATGGAGGCACAGAGATGTAAAGCAACTTATTTAGGGGCACACAGCCAATAAGGAATATTCAGACCCTTAGCTCTGATCCTGACCTGCCTTAGCCCCTGCCTCGCTTTACCGTTGAGGCTGATATTAACCTAGGCCTGACTACCCTCCCTCACTGTGGGATAAAGAGAAGGCCAGGAGAAAGGAGGATAAAAGTGAAGAAATAGGGTACAGAAGAAGGAGAGAAGGAAAAAAAATCAAATTCCTGCAAAAAAGAACCCAAGGCCAGGTGAGGCAGCTCATGCCTGTAATCCTAGCAATTTAGGAGGCCAAGGCAGGCAGATAACTTAAGGTCAGGAGTTTGAGACCAGCCTGGTCAACATGGTGAAACCCCATCTTTACTAAAAATACAAAAATGAGGCAGGTGTGGTGGCAGACACCTGTAGTCCCAGCTACTTGGGAAGCTGAGGCAGGATAATTGCTTGAACTTGGGAGGTGGAGGTTTCAGTGAACTGAGATCATGCCACTGCACTCAAGCCTGCGTGACAGAGTGAGACCATGTCCAAAAACAAACAATCAGAAAAAAACCCCAAATATTCCAACCTAAGTCATTCTTTTCTATTTTTTTTGTTTGTTTTTATTTTTTCCCTCTGTCACCGAGGCTGGAGTGCAGTGGTGTGATCATAGCTCACTGTAGCCTCCAACCACGGGTCTTGAACAATTCTCCCACCTCAACCTCCCAAATAGCTGGGACTCCAGGCATGTCATGCCCAGCTATAATAATAAAACTTTTTTTTTTTTTTTTTTTTTTGTAGAGACAGGGTCTTGCTATGTTGTTTGGGTTAGTCTTGAACTCCTGTCTCAGCCTTTCAGAGTGCTGGGATTACAGGTGTGACCTACCACTCCTGGCCATACAAGAGACATTTCCCCATTTTATAATTTTAAAGATTTTGGAGGGAGAAACACCTAAGCTTAAAGATCAATTTTTTGTTTTTATGTTTTTCCTGTGACATCTTTCCTGTTCTTTCTTCCTCCTTTGTTCACCAAATAAATATATTCTGTGTACAAAATTCTCACTTTTATTTGGTATCATCTTAGCATTTTGGTGTTTAGTTCAAGCTGTCACTGAAAAAAGTTGCTTAGAAAAGCATTGTTGGTCAGGTGTGGTGGCTTATGCCTGTAGTCCCAACATTTTGGGAGGCCAAGGTGGGCAGATCACCTGAGGTCAGGAGTTCAAGACCAACCTGACCAACATGGTGAAACCCCATCTCTACTAAAAGTACAAAAATTAGTGGGGCGTGGTGGTGGACACCTATAATCCCAACTACTTGAAAGGCTGAGGCAGGAGAATTGCTTGAACCTGGGAGGCAGAGGTTGCAGTGAGCTGAGACCACATCATTGTACCCCAGCCTGGGCAACAAGAGCCAAACTCCATCTCAGAAAGGAAAGTGTCATTGTTATGTGCCCTTTCTCTCCAATAAGCACTTAAAGGGCACAGTCCATGTTTTTAAATGTCTGCTACATCATCCTATAAACAGCTTGTTTTATTTTATTTTTCTGAGATGGAGCTCCTGTTATCCAGGCTGGATGCCATCGTGTGATCATGACTTATTGTAGCCATGACCTCCCGGGCTCAAGCAATCTTCCTACCTTAGCTGGGACCATAGTTGTGTGTAACTGTGCCTGGCTAATTTTTTTTTTTTTGAGACACAGTCTCTGTCTGTGAGCCACTGCACCCAGCCTTACTAATTTTTTTTTTTTTTTTTTTTTTTTTTGGGCAAAAATGGAGTTTTTCTATGTTGCACATGCTAGTCTTGAACTCCTGGGCTCAAATGATCCTTCAACCTCAGCTTCCCAAAGTGCTAATATTACAGGTGTGGGTGAGCCACCACACTTGGCCTATGGAGCTTCTTTTATCCTCTATCCTGTGAATTATGTCTGTCTTTTGTGTGTGTGTTTTAAGTAAATGAGTTGCTTTTGCTTTTTTCCTTTCAAAAGAAAAAAAATCTGTTTTTCTTGTTCAAGTTTAATGGGTAAAGTCTAATGGCTAACAAATTGGTTATGTCATTTAAATGATTTGTGTTTAAAAGTTTATCCCACATTCACAATTCTCTCTTTGTGGAGGTCTAGTGATAAATACTTTAACTACCTATGTAGTAATTAGTTTTATCTGTACTCTCTGATAGTTGCTTTCTGTGCAAAGAAAACATTTTTTCTGTAATTCCGTAGTGTTGTCTTTGAATCAGACATGAATACAGTTCAGAATTACTTGAAGTAGATATCCATCATAAAATACCCCATCTTTTATGGTGTTAGATTTGTAATCCCACATCTGCAATCCCAGCATTTTGGGAGTCTGAAGCGGGTAGATTGCTTGAGGCCAGAAGTTCGAGACCAGCTGGCCAACGTGGTGAAACCCTATCTCTACTAAAAATACACAAATTAGCCAGGCGTGGTGGTGCACCCCTGTAATCCCTGCTACTGCGGTGGCTGGAGGCAGGAGAATTACCTGAACCCAGGAGGTGGAGTTTGCAGTGAGCAGAGATCACACCTTTGCACTCCAGCCTAGGCAACAGAGCAAGACTCCATCTCAAAAAACCCCCCAAAGACTAATAGCTCATATTATTATTTTCAGGAGCTGGTGATGATACGCGAACTTGGGGGCCACCTTTCGTGGGGACAGAAAGTACATATTATCTCAGTGTTAACCGAAATAAAAAAGTAAGAATATCATTCCCTTTTTTGCTTTTTTTGTGTAATTCTCTTGTAACAGCAAAACTGATGATATCATTGTGGCTTGTTTTTTCTTCCTTTTATTTTTTTTAAAGATGTAACTAATATTTCAAATAAATTAAACTTCCATTCATTTACCATTCACCGAGTAGAAACAATGAGCTTTTTACTACTCTTTCTTATCTACCAAGTAACTTAGAACATTTCATAAGAATTTATAATGGAAATAATTTTATGAAAGAGAAAAATCATTCGATGGCTTACATTTGTTATTCTTTTAGGGAATAATTGTCTAACACTCGGTATTATAATTGAAAAACTTCTGCCATAATCCTTGTTAGCATATATCCTCATGATAAATAGAATCAGTAAGATGATTTAAATATTTCCTCATGCATAAAATAAATTTAAGAAGATCTATGATATGAATGGCTTTCTTGTCAGCAATAAGAAGAACTTTTATGACCAGGCTCAGTGGCTCATGTCTGTAATCCTAGCACTTTAGAAGGCTAAGGCAGGCGGATTACCTAAGGTCAGGAGTTTCAAACAAGCCTGGCCAACATGGTGAAACTCCAAAACCCCATCTCTACTAAAAATACAAAAATTAGCCAGGTGTGGTGGTGGGTGCCTGTAATCCCAGCGACTGGGGAGACTGAGGAAGGAGAATTGCTTGAACTCTGAAGGCAGAGGTTGCAGTTAGCCAAGATTGTGCCACTGCATTCCAGCCTGGGTGACAGAGCAAGACTCTGTCTGAAAAACAAAAAAGAAAAGAAAATGTTTTATGGTAGCATTTTAACATACTTATTATTATTATTATTTTTTACTTTTTATGTTAGATTCAGGGAATACATGTGCATGTTTGCCACTGCATAATGGTGGGGCTTGGGCTTCTTGTGTACCGGTCACCAAAATAATAGATATATATTTTAATTTTTAGAGTATTGCTGTTAACATCAAGGATCCGAAAGGGGTGAAAATCATCAAAGAGGTACAGTATGCTATATAGAAGGCATCTCACCACCTAGGTTATAATTAGGGATTGGAACATCAGAGCAAAAGTATTTTAAAGCTTAATTTTATGGATGAGCTGTACATTTGCAATAAATACCTTTTAAGTATTTATCTTGATTTGTATACTTCTTTGTAAGTGTAGTGTGCCTTAAATTTCTTGTATATTGTGTGTAATTATGGTGCTAGCTACCATTGACTGAGTGCCTACTCTGCATCAAATCCTGGGCTTGGACCCTTTGCTTACATTATCTCCTCTAATCCTCAGAATTTGCCTTGTAAATGAAGTATTGAAATCTCATTTACATAAAAGGGAATTGAGTTTCCTGGGGCCTAAGTGATGCTCCAAGATTACCCAGCTAATATGGGAAAAGCTGACATCTGGATGTGGGTCACATCACTGGAGAGTCCAATCTTTCTATAACTCTTACTTAGATAACCAATATATCCAAACGTATCTCAGCATCTTTCTTTGAGTAGCTAGAAGGCACAGTGGTTAAATTAAGGTTGGATACCTTTACATGTGATTTGAATCCTGCCTTCTGTACTTACTGTACTACTATATGACCTCAGACAAGTTACATAATTTCTTTGTGCTTCAGTTTCTTCATCAGTAAACTGGAGGCAATAATAATACCTACCTTCCTTCTTCTCTTCTCTTCTCTTCTCTTTTTCTTTTTCTTTTTCTTTCTTTTTCTTTTTTCTTTCTTACCGAGTCTCACTCTGTTGCCCAGGCTGGAGTGCAGTGGCACAATCTCAGCTCACTGCAACCTTTGTCTTCCAGGTTCAAGCGATTCTCCTGCTTCAGCCTCCTGAGTAGCTGGGATTAGAGGTGTGTGCTATCATGCCCAGCTAAGTTTTGTATCATTAGTAGAGATAGGGTTTCACCATGTTGGCCAGGCTGGTCTCAAACTTCCAACCTCAGGTGATCCGCCTGCCTCAGCCTCCCAAAGTGCTGGGATTACAGGCGTGAGCCACTGTGCCCAGCCATTTTTTTTTTTTTTTTTTTTTTTTTTTTTTTTTATACCGAGTCTCTCTCTGTTGCCCAGGCTGGAGGGCAATGGCATGATCTTGGCTCAGTGCAACCTCCCCCTCCTGGGTTCAACCAATTTTCTTGCCTCAGCCTCCAGAGTAGCTGGAATTACAGGCATGCACTACCATGCCTGGCTAATTTTTGTGTTTTTAGTAGAGATGGGGTTTCATCCTGTTGGCCAGGCTGGTCTTGAACTCCTGACCTCAAGTGATCTGCCTATCTTAGCTTCCCAAAGTGCTAAGATTTACAGGTGTGAGCCACTGTGCCCAGCCTAATAGTTCCTACTAAGATTGTTGTTAGAATTGAGTTAGTCTCTATAAAATGTATAGATGAGTGCTTGCCACAGTCAGCACTCGTTACGTTTTAGCTGTTGTTATTTTCTATGCTCCTGATGTTGGATTCATCATGTGGGATAAAACTTGTTTGCCATACTAGTTAAGGTTTACAGTTGAATCTAATAGATATACAGTATTCTTCCGTATTCAGGGGATTGGTTCTACTAGAACCTCCACGTATACCAAAATCTGTGAATATTCAAGTCCCACAGTCGGCCCTATGGAACCTGCTTATACAAAAAATTGGCTCTCAGTATGCATGGGTTTTGCATCTGGTGAATACTGTATTTTCCATCCACGTTTGGTTGAAAAAAATCCGCCTGGGGTGGACTTGCACAGTTCAAACCCCTGTTGTTCAAGGGCCAATTGTGAACAATTTATGGCTATTTGGTTAGAGAACCAAGTCTCAAACTTTATTTTGTACTTTTTTACTTACGTATGTATGTATGTATTTTGAGACAGAGTCTTGCTCTATTACCCAGGCTGGAGTGTAGTGACAAGATCTTGGCTCACTGCAACCTCTGCCTCCTGGGTTCAAGAAATTCTCCTGTCTCAGCCTCCCGAGTAGCTGGGACTACAGGCACACGCCACCACACCTGGCTGATTTTTGTATGTTTAGTAGAGATGGGGTTTCACCATATTGGTCAGGCTGGTCTTGAACTCCTAATGTCAGGTGATCGCCTGCCTCAGTCTCCCAAACTGCTGGGATTACAGGCATGAGCCACTGTGCCTGGCCTCAAACTTTGCTTTTCACCAAAGCATCAACTTAGCTTCGATTGCTCTGCTGCTGCTTTCAGTTCTCTATCTTGGTCAATGAAAGATAATCTTTAATTATTAAGAACAGAATCAGGGACCATCCTTTTTTTGGTTCTGCTGGATCAATGCAGCCAATTTAGAATTTTCATTGGCTACATATATTTTGAACCCAAGTCTTGAAAATCATCCTGATTTTACCACCTCGGTTTTCTGTATCTTTCCTGTAGCATAATTTAGGTTTGTTCATTTTAGTTTTTCTTTTGAAACTCGGTTTGATTTTTCTAAATTGTTCTCTACTCTTGTTGACCTCTTCTGTTTTCCTACAGTGACTACCCTCACCTTGGAGCCAACTCTCATTGTCTTTATTTTCAGGCCCCCTTTAAAAAAATCTTCTCCTCATTCGTTATTGTTATTATTATTTTTTAATCTGGGAGCTTGTTCTATCTGTAATACTTCTCTTTGTGTCTTGTGTTTCTTGGTTCTACCTTCAGTGTTCATAGTCTTGGTTCTTTGTTTCCATTTCACAGCATTCTGGTAATTTATGCTGAGTAGTTGAGGTTTCAGGTTTGATTGAATACTTCACATTTCTTTCTTTCTTTTTTTTTTGAGATGGAGTCACACTCTGTTGCCCAGGCTGGAGTGCAGTGGTACGATCTTGGCTCACTGCAACCTCCTTGTTTAAAGCCTTGCAGGTTTAAACAATTCTCTGCCTCAGCCTCCCTAGTACCTGGGATT